GCTGGATAGGCTGACATCAGGACTCCAGAGTACCACAACACCTAACCAGCAAAACTCCGAGAAGATGCAAATTACGTTGGAGCCCGCGCAATCAGTGAAGACATACCATCCAAGCAAGTATATTATATATATATATATATATATATGTATATATATGAATGTATATGTATAAACTAGGAAGCATGTTGCATATACAATCAGGATGAGAAGACAGAATACAGTATGATCTTAACTGATCACCTTTTCAGTCCACAGGCAGCTACCAGAACGATGCAGAGCAGAATGAGTGCGAAAAATGCTACAACAACAGCTATGTACATAGGATTCGAAGACAGCACGGACAACAGGTCGCTCCATCGAAGATTTGACCCTTTCTCAGAAGATGACAACACCGTAGCTGTTGGCCTAGACCCAAGTCCGAAAGGAGCAAACGTTTGAACCGGGGAGAGTGGTCCATACCCTGAAACAAACACAACGGTGATGATAAAGATGGCTTATGATACGAAAATTCTATTAACAAGCGTCAAACCTCTACCTTTCACGTTTCGAGCCTGTATTTTAAAATAATATTTAGTCTTGGGCAAAAGATTTCGGATTTCGTGGCTTAGTTTGTCACCTTGCACGTAGTGAATAGTCCAGTCTTTATCAGCGAGCATAACTCGATCCGTGTAATAGATGAGGTATTCTGCATAACAGAACATTATTTGGGTTTTTTAAAACTGAAACTTAAATCCTTTTTTAAATTTTTTTAAAACACGCGTTGATTGTTCGGACTATTTATTAAGATAATCCGAAAAAAAAATTTTTTAACAAAGCACGGACCTATTTTACATGAGTAGCAGTTACAGAGCTAAACAACACATACCCTCTATGTCTCCGTTAGAATACTTAGGTGGTTGCCAATTGAGTAACACAGCTTCAGGATCACCCGATGCAGCAGGAAGAACTGTGAGATCGCGTGGAGAAGACGATGGTGCCGTGGCGTATGTCCTGAGAAAATTAAATAGCCGAATACATGTATACGTACATATGTATATATGTATATATATATATACGTGTAATATACATGTAAGTAGTAGGAATTTTATTAGTTGCAACTACTTTTAGACTCTACATATCTTCGTTTCTAAGATAGAACTTTCCTTATGTAACGAAGACGAAATTTTGATTTTCTGAAGCCCATGAAACCCATTTCTTCCATTTTATTACACCAATGGTCATGATTAGAACACTAAAGCGAGTGAACTAGCAGAAATTTGTTCAGTGGGACGTTCACCAGTGCATCGCTTAAACTTGCAGTAGTCGCTCATTTGTTGAAAATTTTAAAAACTTAAATTTTGCCAGCACTTTTTTTGATGGTATTCAATTCGATATATCTGAATTCGAAAGGACACTGCAAAAATTATACGTGCAATCAGTGTGAGAAGGCAAAGCGCGATCTATAAATCTGTGAAGCTTTGAACTCCTGTAATACTGTACTGATAAAGAAAGCATCATTTGTCGTCAAAGAACTAGCTCCGTCGCGAAAGGATTAACGCATCGAAGCATGGGTGGCGCTGTGGTAGAGACTTTTGACATGGCGCAAGGACTGGTTCAACCTCGCACAGAGCCATTGAAGTTTCCCATTCCTCTAGGGTCGAGAAGGTGGTGCAAGATCCTCCCTCCCAGCCACAGAAGCCGGACCCAAATGGGAAAACGTTGTGAAGAGGTGCACTAGCAGAGCTATACTAAGATTCTCGTAAAAACCAGTTCGATCGACGCTCCATGAAATCCATGAAAAAAAGTAAAACCCTCAAACGGTAGTCGAATTTGTAAGAAAATTTGAAATCGTTCGTGGAGGATGGAAGCGAGGAAATGACTCAAATGAAAGAGTTCCCAGGATCGACTTTCTCTTAACCTCGGCATTGGAATATGAATGTGTCGTTTTCTTGTTCAGCAATCGCGAGGTTTTTAAACAGCATGCATTTACTTCCATAAAAACACAATACAATACCACGCTAGCTGACGTTTCGGCAGTATCGCCTTCTTCAGAGCCTGGAAGGGTAACTGATATACAATCTACTAGGCCAAACGCTTCAATAACACTTACACAAAGACGAAAGGCTCTTTGGTAATTACACGATCAACAACTTCTCGAAAAACCCACCGCTTTTTTGTGACTTCCAATGAGGAAGTTTAGAACAGCTGATTATAGTCGCATGTGGTTGACGACTGCACCATCGCACATCAAAAATCGATGCGAACGTACGGGATCAGGTCGCGTATGACCTCCGGGCATTCGTCCCTGCTATTCATTGTAGGGTTTTTGGCATTGATCCAAAAAGCCTCTAGGAGTTTTCGCGCTAGTGTTTTGGACTCTACTCCTCTACTCTACTACTACTAGACTCTATTACTCTCTATCGCCCATCCTCTGAAAAGGAATACAAAAGTCAACACCGAAAACTAAACAATCAATGGGTCAGCGTGGCAAAGGCTGCGGGTTTAAAATCATCGGTTATTTCGCACTTAAAATCGATAGACCAACATGTCCCGTCCTAAACCTACTTATTAAAACACCTAAGTTAGTATCACCTGATGATCATGCGTCAACCAATCCGTCATCATTTAAGGTTAGACCAATCATCAGCTGTGTAGGCGGGCCAACGGATAGAATAACCTGGTTTTTAAGCCTGATACTCACCCAGTTGCTTAACCACATTCCAGCCCACCTCACGAACACCCAAATGTTCCTGGAACGTCTACGTAACGCGTCTCCCAATAACGCGTACGTGATGGAGTCTTTCGACGTTACCGCACTGTACACCAACGTATCGAATGACTCCGCAATGCAAGCCATCTTCGAACTTCTTGTTGAACATGAAGGAAAAATAAATATGCATGGCTTGTCCATCAAGCAGCTAATGGCTCTCTTAAAGGAGTGCCTAAACTGCTCGATTTTCAGATGGTCTAGGAAATATTTCGCGCAAATAAGGGGGTTGGAAATGGGACAGCGATTGGCACCAAGCCTGGCCATTGTGTTTATGTCTAAGATAGAAGCCCCTGTTCTCGATCTCCGGCCACTACTCTACTGCAGATATGTAGATGATTGTTTTGTCGTCTTCTTTCTCTACGCAGGAGGAGATGGACAAATGCTTCGAATTATTAAACGAGCAGTCCGAGTACATAAAGTTCACCCGGGAGA